GCACACGGATAAATTATCTGTAACAGGTTGGGGTCCTGATGGCTGCTTTAATTACTACTCGTAGACAGGAAGAGAAAGTTTTTTTTTTGTTCTATTTATAACTCACTTTATTAAATTTTTATCCTGAATGTACTATATTATCCTTTATTTATTATAGTATGGATAGTTATTTTTTTTTAAAGCTGTATATATTAAACAGGAATAAAGTTGAAAAATTGCTATATTTTAATGGAGAGTTAATATAATTTAAGATTTTTCTTGATTTGTGTGAAACATGTTGGAAGTGCCTTATAAATAGGACAAGAGGAGTACTATTATTCCTAATTGTGGAGTTCACTTCAACCCCCCGGCTTCCATTTTATAAAAGATTCACATAATGAAATTACGTAGTTTAAAAGGGGTTAACATTAATTAACAGTGATAAATATGTAATATATGTCAAATATAGTGAGAAAAATATAAAAGAACGTCTGAAAAAAGATAATGTAATAACTAATTAAGAGTAGAATTATTTTTAAAAAATCAATATTCAGATAATCTTGAACTAAATCTTATTAAAAAAAATCTGATCGGGCTGGAAAAATAAAAAAGAATCTGATCAGTTTTTAAAATTTGAATCTCGTAAGACAAAAAAATCGGAGGGAGTGGCTTTTTACAATTTAATGGCTAGCAAACCCTTCCACTCGACGCATAACCTATATATTTCGTGACTTTGATGAAATGGATAAATATCTATTGAGAATAACATTTTATTTTTCACATGTATTTGCTATGGCGTCGTTAAACTGCTTTATTTACAGTATCAAATATGTTAGCAGGTTTGAATCTGGAAAATGTTTATATTTGGCGGCATTTTTTGGTTTAATATCCAATTAAATTATATTCACAACATATCGCATCAACTTTTTGTATCCTGCTTTACATTAGGACGCCAATTTGTAGTTTTGTATTACATGATTAGCGGTACCCGTCCCCACCGTCTCGTACCGGTCCTGATTATTTTGAGACAAGACCAAATAATAATTGGGATGAAACGCAGGACGAGGTCATCTCATCTAGAATATTTATTTATTTATTTATTTTTAAAAATTTACTTAATCAATTAATATTAGTGCTTGTTTTTTAGTGATTTTTTATGTCAAAGTCTCACTTGTAATTTGAGATTTTTGCATAATAGTTTTTTTAAGGATTTTTATCTCTCAAAAACTCAATGAAAATTAAAAACACAACATAAAGAAAAGAGTAAAATACACTAAAAGCCTCTCTGTTTTACTTAAATTAGAAAAATTTCTCATTTATTTTGAAAAAATATATATATAACCTTTATTAAAAGTAAAATGTATGTTACACAAACTTCTCTTATATATTTAAGATTTTATTTCTATCTATCAAATTGTTAGTTGACTGTTTGACTTTTAAATTTTTATTTTAACTAAAATACCCCTCCGTGACATGAAAGTCCTTCAACATTTATATTTGTAAAAAAAAGTAATTGTTCATACAACAAAAAAATAATTTTAATGCATATATTTTCAAAATTTTTAATATATAATAAAATTTATTAATTTTTATTATATTTAAAATTTTATGATTTTTATTTTTCCATCTCAAATATTGAAACTTATTTATTTAGGTTTTTTTTTAAATGGCTACGCAATATATTAAATACATATTTTGTCCATTGTATAATATAAATTATCTAAGTTTGAGAGATTATAGAAATTATTTGAATTCATAATTTAAAATTTTTAAATAGAAATTTTGTTTGAAATATTTATAACTTATTTAGTCAGTTATACATTTATTTTAAAAATTAATTAAATTTTTATTCAAGTTTTTTATGTCTACATTAACTAAATTATTTAATTTTCTATCCCAATATTATAAAAATATTAAAAATTTATTTTAAAAATAAAAAGAATTAAGAAAAAGGAAAAGATTTAAATTCTTCAAAACTTTTTAACTAAAATTTAGGGATTTGATATTGTGAAGGGTAAATTAGTAAATAAAAATAGTTTTAATATAAATTTTAATTTAAAGATATCTTTTTAGAATATTCTTAATGAAGCTAGTGGTTTGAACTTAAGCATATGTTTTCAAAATTTAAAAAAAAAAGTCTGTGTAATCAGAGCAAAATGCAAGAAATATCAAAGTATTTTACTTTAAACAAACTATAAATTCTAGCCCAATTTGCAATGGTTTAAAAAAAGCTAAAATATATATTTGGTCTTTTAACTTTATGTAAACTTTCAATTTGGTTCCTTAACTTTATTTTTAGTCTTTTAATCCTAAAATTGTTAGTCTTAAATGATAATTTTTTGTAACAATCATAGTTGTTTTGAAAATTAAACTTAATATTATAGCATTTAGTAATGTTTTATTAATATTAAAGATCTCAATATTATCGGTTTTTTTTATTGGTTCTAAGGTTAAATGACTAAAAATTTATTTTTTTTAAATTAAGGGACCAAATGAAACTTTATGTAAAGTTAAACAATAAAAGATATACTTTAGCTTAAAAAAATGATGGGATGAATTTGGCCCTTCCTGTCCCATCTCGTGAATATTCCTAATTCTTAGTTCTAGTAGTTTCCAAACATCATGGAACTAAACCATGAGATTATGACAGCATAGCCCTCACGATTCGAACAATCCGTTAGTGAGGGTGAACATGCATGGGTACAGTTAGATTAAATTATTTTGTCTAAAACGTAAATAGCTCCCAGGAAATTTATGATTAAGTATTTAAATTAGTTAACAATTATTCCTTCACTTTACCTCTCATATTTTTCTTTTTCTTCCAAAATAATTTACATAACTTAGAAATTAATATATAATTTAATGCTATACACAAATATTTTAGTAAAATCGGATCACATTTGTTATAATTAACTTATTTATTCAACTTTCTTGATTTGTCCAAGTTAATTGACTCTTCTATTAAGAAATAAAGGTAGTATATCGAAAGATCTTAATAATCTTTCACAAAGAAAAGAAATTACCATCAAAGTTTAAAACCTTACCTATAATAAAACAGGACAGTTATTATCACATTTCACAAGAGTCAATATCAATATAAAGTATAAAATTTACATCAACCCACAATATTTACGAATTATGAATACACCGTTTATCATGCATGAAAAGTTTACTACTTAATTATTTTGCATGAAAAGTATGCTATTTAATTATTACTAAAGACACTTAAAATGAATTAAAATGGTATTTTTTATTTTTATAGTAATTCCATTAAATTTGATAATTTTTTTAATTATTAATAAGCATGTCACAGATGTTTTTAATGTAATTTTATTTGGATATTTAAATGTCCACTTTTCTGCATATTTAACATACTTCTATTGCTATTAATTAAAGGGATAATTAATCTCCAGGTCCTTATAATTTTATCTGATTTTTAATTAGGTCCTTATAAAATTTTTTCTTTTTATCAGATCCTTTTACTTTCGTGTGTTTTTAATTAGATCCTTCTATTTTTTTTTCTTTTTATCAGGTCCTTATAGTTTCACTTATTTTTTAATTAGGTGCTTTGTAGTTTTTGAAAAATTATTTATTAACTTTATTCTTTAAAATTAATTTCATTTTTAAATTAATAATTATATAATTGGACAAAATAATTAATATAATCATTTAGTAATTAATAAACAATCAGAATAATAATTATAATTAAATATAAATTATTTATAATCATATTTTAATTTTAGATAAATTTATTTTTATAATTTGAATTTTATAATTATAAAAATTCGAATTGAAAATAAATAATATATTTGTTTAACTAAAAATTTAAAAAAATATTAACATACGATTGTTACAATAATTTATTATTTTCAAAATGTTATTATTTGTAAAATAAAGAATAAAAACTACAAGGACCTAATTAAAAACAAAGTAAAACAATAAGGACCTGATAAAAAGAAAAAAAATTATAAGGACTTGATTAAAAATATATAAAAGTATAAGGATCTGATAAAAAGAAAAAAAATTATAAGGACCTGATTAAAAATCAGTTGAAACTATAAGGACTTATACATTAATTATCCCTTAATTAAAAAGTAGTTTTGTCTATGATTAATTGAGTATAAGAGGTAGTATTTTTTACTTAAAAAATACTAAGTTAAAGTACAAATTTATTCTAAAAGTTTTTATTCAGAAGCGTTAAGCGTATAGAAATTTTTACTTTTAGTACAAATTTGCTGTAAAAGTTTAAAATCGTAGTAATTTTATCATTTATTGGTAAAATACTCACATTAATCATTAAAATAGTAATATTAATCATTAACATTTTTAACAATAGGAGCAAAATTATTACAATTTAAACTTTCTGGACAAATTTATCTAAAAAAATAATTTCAGATGTCAAGCGTTTTAAGTAAAAATTTTCAGAGTAATTTTGTAACTTAATCCAAAAATATTTTTTTATTTCGTTGTCTTTTTTTGTATTTTAGGGATCTAATTCTAAGGAGCCAAGTTCCTTGCAGGTGAGAAAGGTTGAATGCTTTAATGGCAAAATAATAGGCAGACGGAATGAATTCTCATGAAAGGAAATCTCCAATCTTGGCATCACTCTTATAATGGGAAACCCATTTACTATAATCCCAATCTCACCGCTTTCCAATCCTGCCACACACGGGATAAACCTCTCAACTTTACATTCAAAATCCCAGAAACATAAAAGGGCTCTCCTTTTTCCTGTCGATATCATGCGATTTTCTTGGCCGCCAAACAGAAATAGCATGTTTCAGATCAAACGGCAGCGTATGAATCATTTAAAAAACCATGAAGGGCATGTATCAGACGTGACAGAGAAGTAGAGACGCAACGTTTGGTTTTGGAAAACTGGCTGTTTGGTATACAATTTAAGGATATTAATTAGATTGAACCGTCCATTTATTGGTACTCGAATTCATTTTCTCTGTGGGACTGTAAGTTTAATCTGAGTCTTGCTGAAGGGAGATTCATCGACATGTCGAGTGATCCATCGATGAACAGCCAGCGCTAGTTTGAGGTAATCTGTCATCAGGCACTACTCTGCTTTCGACGCTGTCTTTTCCTTTCAGGGCCTGTTTATAGATGACTGATTTGAATATCTAGGAGCACAAAGGATGGTATAACCATCGAAGCCTGTTGATTTGAGATTTCGTTCACTAGAAGATTCAGAATCAAATAAAAATGCAACATAAAATGAAATCGAATGTTGATGGGAAATATGAAACAGTCTGTCTCACTGGTCTGCCCATGTAAACCTTTCAAGACTAGACAGATAACTCCCCTAGACTTTTAAATTTGTGCAGATAAGAGTTTTGTTACGAGGGAAATTGATAATAAGTTGTTGGAAGAAGCTGGAATCACAGGAATTTCATGGGCAGTGAAGAATCAGGAAGTCAAAAGCACAAGAGGAATAAGAGTTTTGTGATAAGAGAGGTTCCAATACAGCGGGCGAAGATTAATAATGATGCAGAATGGAGCAGAGGGAAGAGCTTCTGTGAGATGGAGAAGGCGATGATGAGTGACTATGATACCCCTGAGCTGGTGGTTTTCCTTCAGGAGGACAGAGGAGCGTCAGCAAAAGACAAGTGTGCGATGGGAAACTGTGAATGCTATGAAGAAACGGCGGAGACATTGTCTTGCTCCTCTGCTTCGAAAGTGTCAGACTCCACATGTCGGAATCCTCGCACCAACAAGTGTGGTTTCAGAAACTCGACGATGATGGTGGAAGGTGACCACCCCACTGAGGTGAGACATCTTAATCTAAGGCTTGGACATTTTATTTGATCGCATCCAATGGTAAATGGTTGATGTGCTTCGAGAATGATCTTTTCGTGAATCATGATGATTCTGTTTAGCCCGTGAAAACGTGCTTAAACAGAGAACTAGGAGAATCAAGTCAAAGAAAAAACTACGGTCTTTCCTGCGTTCCCTGCTGATAGTGTTGGTCCACCAACATTTCAATTTCTAGGGGATTTCTGCCTTGTAAACTAATTTAGGGATTCAGTTGCAATCAAGTTAAAATTTAGGAACTGAGTTATGAATGAATCAAAATTATTATAACCACATAAAAGATTAATTTTTCTTGCAATAACATTTATATTTGATACTCTTTATATTAATTTTTTAAACGGATCAAAATCATCCACTGTTTTTTTTTTTTCAAAAGACAAAATGGTACATAACATTATTAAACCCTAGTAACGTTGACATAACCTTTATAACTTTTAAAATGTGTGCCGAATGCGATGTTGTGGGGTAAGTGTAATGTGCAGGGCAGTGAGAAAGAAGAGGAGGTTGTGAGATTATTCGACAAGAAGCAGGAGGAGTGGTGTTCGTGCGGCATAGGAACATCAATAAGGTGTGGCAGCGTGTCTGCGTCTCACGGGTCCAGTGACAGCATGAGCAGCACCCACTCCTTTACTTTTCCCATGTAATTGCTCACTCTGCTTCCTCTGTTCTTTTGTTGCCTTCAAGTGCTTCCGTTTGATGATAGGGATGGCGCAGATTGCAGAGAGAATGGAGCGGAAGCCCCGTGAGGATGGCGGAGCCTGACGCTGCCTCGGCGTCAAGAAGGCTTCGATGGCGGAAGATTCTGTGTCCCTGCTGCAAATGTTGATGAATAAAAGGACTTAAAATTGAGTATGAAGAAATAGGTGAGGATGCAAGGCAGAAGGCAAATGAGCCATTCTATAAATGCTGCTATATAATTAACACCATATTATCGATTCCTTTGTTTTTGATGGAGATATATGGCAGCTTTGGTTGCTGGCAGTTTCCCCAGTTATCTTCAGATTCAGTTCTAGCCCGACCATAATCACCCTATACCCTCGTCATCATTCATATTTTTATCTGTGTTGCTCTTGCCAAAAAACCCTGCTCATCACCATAAATCCAACGAAACCCTATTCCCTATTCGAGATCAACATTTTTTGAGGAAACCACTTGCCCTGTTGCCATTTATGCCACATCCTATCTTTAACATAGTAATCAGGATTTAATTTGCTCTTAAATATAAGATTTTAATTAATATTGTTTTTTACGTTTATTTATTTTTCATCAAAGCTGTCTTATGGTAATTACACATGTTGAAGAATTTTTATACTGATATACATGATTAATAAGAATATTTTTAAAAAAACAATATTTATTTATTATGAATAATGAATTTAATTATTTTTTTAATATTTATAAATTAGTTGTTTAACTTTTATACGGAGTATGGGGGGCAGCATCAACAAGGCATCTGGTCCTATATTGACAAACACCAATTAAAACGAATAGAGATGATAAACTTTTCAATTGAATTTTTTTTTTTAAATGAAAAACATTGAAGCACTCCAGCGGATTGTTTACATCAGGCAACTTTTAGAAGGAAGTCATAGTTATCATCTTTTTGTGCAACATTTAATGAACTATTCCAAGAAAAAGACATCAACACCACAATCCATTGTGATGAAAAATAATGGAGGTTAAAAAAACTTTTTGGGTGGTGGTGAGTTAGTTAAAAAAGAATTATATACTAGCGCAGACAACAAGAGGAGGGAAAGAAGATGGGGTAGGGCGGGGGGCGTGCACGTGGAGAAGGGAGCCCACAACAGCGGCCACGGCGTCATAAATCAGCGTCCCACCGTTCCGTTACGCACTGTCGGGCTGTTCCATGGAATTGGAATCCCCATTCCCTACCCCAATCACTCCAACGACTGCCCTACCGCCACCTGACCTTCATCATGGCCATGGCGCATGCCTCTCTTCCCCAGTCCCGGCCCCACCTTCCTTCTCACATCACCCCCCTTGGCATCATTATTCCGCTTCTTCTTCACGTGCCTCTTCCCCTAATCCTTCCTTATCTCCTAATCCCCTTCCTCCGTCCATTCACCTCCACCTACCCACCCACCCACACACAAAATATCAATTCGCTATTCATACTTGCCACTACTGCATTACCATTCATTCAAACCCTTCCCTTCGCTCAGCCATATGCCCACGTCATCCTTCATATCACTTCCTACTTCCTGTGTTCTTCCCTTTCTACTTTTATCGATCCACCCTCCAACGCAACCCAAGACATTCCAGTCACAGACGCAACATATCAGAGCTATATACCAACTTATATAAAAGATTCCACATACACATCTCTCACACCCTTTCCTCATTTCAAACTCGCAACTCATAACACCCCTTCACATTACAATAACCCCAAAAAAAAAAAATACAAACCAAAAATAAAATAAAATATACATCGGGTGATTCGCTAACTGTAGGATTTCTTCCCCCCGCTTTAGTTTTTCCATTTCAGATTTCCTCGTGTTTTATGGATTAAGATCATAATGAACCAAAAAAGAAGTGATGAAAGTGAAAGATTCATTTCCGGCTTCCCTTTCCTTGTGTGTGTTTCGACCTTCAGGGTAGCTGAAAAAGACTCGAATTGTCTTCATTCCACTGATTGTGACTCCACAAAACCTGATCGACGGTGTTCCCAACATCGAAAAAACTTTGATGATCCGTGCTCCCCTGCCAATCCCCAGGCACCGTCTGCTCCATCAACGATCCGGTCGTCATCGCCCTCATCTCCGGCCACTTCAACTCCTGCTGACAACGGCCGCTCGTGTTCATCCCCTTATGCCACTGGCTGCACAGCTGAAACGAAGACGCGTCGGCGATATTACCGTAGCCGAACGCCAGGGTCTCGTTGGTGGGTGTGATCAGGCTCGTCAAGTTCTCTATCTCCGAGAAAATCCCGAAGTCTCCTCCTTGTTCAGTGACGCCTGGTTCCGAGCTAGGCTTCGAATCAGAATGGACGACGGGATTCGAATCCTGAAGATTGTCAAACAAGTTATTGGACGTCGAGTTGGATGAAGGAGCTGAAACCGCTTCTGTGGTGACGGCGGCGGCGACAGCGGTAAGACTGGAGTTTTCACTGCTGGAATGAGAGTTGGACGTCTTACCCTCGCGCTCCGGTAGCGATGATGACGGGGCCGGCGGTGGTGCTTTTGTCGCGGTGGCGGAGGAAGTTTCTGAGGAAGAATTCTTGGGCTTGGAGCGCTTCGCTTTCCGACAACCGCCGCCGACGGGGACGTTGCGGAGGACGCCGCCCTTGGTCCAGTACCTACGGCAGCCCTTGCAGAAATGGCGCGGCTGAGAGAGGTTGTAGTTGTTGTAGTAGCAGAACTTGGTGTTGAGGGAGTCACACCTCGGGCACTTCAAGGCCTGGTGGTCCTGGCTGTCGTTGTTGCGAGGATGGTGGTGAGGTCTGAGCCTCCTGTTTCCAGCAGCACCCCCGGCGCCAAAAAATCTACCTCCGGCGACGGAATGCATTTCCTGCATTTCGCTCAAAACCAACCCTGGCTCCATGCCTGATGCCTCCGGTGGTGGGATGTCAGAATCCAAGAATCGAGGGGGAACGATTTAAAAATTGTTGCCTTGAAAGTCGGGAGGGTAAATCTCAGGCTAAATACGCGGGAAAATGTTGCTAATGTTGCCGACTTAGAAGAAAGGCAGATTTTGTGGCAGTGATACGGCAGTGTGAAAAAACAGCACAAAATCAGGCAGGCGAGGGAGAGAGCCGCAGAGAGAGAGAGAGAGATTGGTTCCCAGGTCTGACAAATATCCCTTCAGCTAGGCTATGCACTGTACGCTGATATCTTCCACTATTTCTGATTTCTGATAGTATTAGTCACGGAATGACCAAAACAACCCTACAAGGAAGTGAAAACTACAGAGAAGCGAGAGGTTTGTGGAGGTACGAAAATGCCCCTAGTGGTGGCTGGGATCAACAGTCATAGCCTCGTACGAATGTTGGAGTTGACGAGGGAGTAGTGGGAGCCGTGGGATGAGGGGGCCACGTGGACGGAGACAAAGGGAGGAGGAGTATCATTCGCAGAACCGGGTGGTGGCCATGTCGGCCACCTCACATATTCTAGAGAAAAATTACGGTCCTAGTCTCCTAGACCCTCACTCCAATGTTTACGCTGAAACACTAGTAGCATCAAACTTGCAATTATTTCAAAGAACAAATGCGTTTTTCTTTTTTTATTTTTGTCCTCTATTTAAATATTATTCCTCCGATCTTTAATATAAGATCCATTTAACTAATTTGATTAGATTAAAAAGTTAGGTAAGTTAGTTAATTATTAAAAAAAGTGACATATTTTTTCTAAAACACCATAATCATCTTTCTTAATACTCCCTCTTCCTCTTCTATTTGATTATAGTTGAAGGAGTATCTATAGGGGTAATTTAGAGAAAATTGATAAATATGATAAATGGGTCTTATATTTAGGACCAAACCCAACTCAAGAATTGGGTCCTATATTAAGGACCAGAGGAGTAATTGCTTAGAAATTAAACAAGTACTAATTTTATGTAGAATATATTTTTAAAAATAAATATTATTAATTTATTGATTAGTATACCTAAAAAAAACTTGTACTAGAATTTATATTTAGAAAAAAATATGAAAATTCAAATTAAGACTTATAGTTAAGGGAAGAGAAAGTGTATCTTAAATTTAAAGTTGTAAACATAATATCTTCAAAAAATTTAAGAACGATATATCGTTTACTTACCAGATTTTGTCAAGGAGAACGGAGAGTCGTCCTATATTCTTATAGTCGTATTGCTCCGCTACTCGCATTTGGGTTCGTTGGGTGTCGGTAACGGGAGGGAAGAGGCACGCACTCCTTATACGCCACACGTATTAGCATGCTGCCTCTTATTTTTAATATAAAAATCAATTAACTAATTTAAATATATTAAAAAGGAGAAAATGTATCTCTAGTTTCTTAGGTTCTACTGCTTCTCTTTTTGCCAAAATTAGTTAATTTGCAATTGGCTTATTGAATAATAGATATTATCTTTTTTAAAATACTCCTTCTAATTAAATGTTTATTTAATGAAGCAGTTAATATATACAAATACACCTAATATAAAAATAATTTGAAAAAAGGTAATATGATGAATAAAACCTCCATTCCCTTTTTGCTCCTTTCCCTTGCCCTCCCTTTTTCGTTTCCGTGTTCTCCCGTAGCTCCGTGTTTTGTCAGTGTTTTTTGTAATTTTTGTAGCTGATGTGTAGTCTAGGAAGGAATTTTGATTTATCCCCTTGATTGATCACGTGCAATTTCAGAAATAATTGATTCATTAATGAGAAAATTACAAAACTTTGTACTCAAGTTGACTCAGCTCACAACTTTCAGAGTTTAAGGACAATAATTGGCCTCCGGTCCAAAAAAAAAAAAGGACAATAATTGGCCACATGAACTACACTTTGCTTTATAAAAAGTCAAAAACTATATTTGACCGACTCATAATAACGATGAGAAACAAATCTCACACCACAGGCTAGTATTCACACACACATATAACTCATGAATAACAAATCAGCGCACAGAGAAGATATACAACTCAATCATACATATGAATGAGCGTGCCATATCAAATTTTAGACCCCATGAAGAAGTATAGAACAATGCCCACTAAAATATATTAGAAATAATGCTACCTCAAGTCATAATTATAAGAACTAACTGTTAACTAATTGAAGATATTAAAGAAATAAGTTAACTTAGTTATTTGTAATAAATTTGTGTTATCTTGCTTAGAATATCCTTACTAATCAAGTATATTGGTTATAACTGCTATTATTAGAAAGACTACCTTGGAAAAAATACATAAATATGAGAAACAATATAGATTGAGGTATTATATTTAGAACTAAAATAAAAGTCAAATAAGGTCTTATATTAAGAACCGGAGGTAGTACAATTCATACTTAAATTTAATTTGTGCAAATGTTTACGGCAGTGTGTGCTAATCCACGACCGACGGCGAGGATGCATGTTGCATGGAGCGAAAGTCACTGTCCAGCTGACCCGGCAGTGAGAGAAACGCATAGATTTTGTCTGCTGGATCTCTTGTTTATGAAATTCCACAATTTTCTCAACCACAGATTTTTTTTTTAATCTTTAATTTGACCAATCATATCGACCTGTGACTAACGTTCCCATGAACATACCAAGAATCGCGACCTTTACATGACCAAGCATGGAGTTTTCTTTTTCGGCCCAGTGAGTAGCGAGGACGTAGGAGAGACGAAGCAGTTGGTTGATTTTAGGCTCAAGGTTTTCCCACTCCTAACCATTATACCACTCAACCTCTAAAATAAGATAAAAATGAAGTCGTGAGAGGTTGATTAGATGGTGACAAAGCCTCTAAGACTGGCTCCAACGTGACTGCCGCTGAGTTGATTTGGAACCTCTGCGGATTCAGTGTTGTAGCCCTTCAGACTCAGACCGGATAGTCATAAAAATTCATTCGAACGTACAGGAGAGCAAGAATCTAATCTCATTTGTACCACTAAATCATCAGTGTCACAAACCCATGCATGGGAAGAATGAATAATATAATGCTGCATGCGTGCCACATTAAGGCCTATCGGTGATGCCAAACACAATTAGGAGAGCACCGATGCTGATAGCTTGATCAATGGATGCAAACATCTTCACGTGCTCCTGGGACACATCTCTCATCTCCATTATATTCTCAATCTATCCCCGCTCCATCCATACCATACCCTCGTTTATTATCATCAGCTGCATCGTGCTGGGAAAACGATTTGGAGGGTGGACATAATCCCCGAGATTGCACAATATCCCAACCATGGTTTCTGGGGCATAAGTTAAGTGGGTGGGGCAAGCGTACTTCTGTTGGTACCCTCTGGTGGGCGTCACCATCACCGCCTCCATCCTAAGAGTAAGAGCAACCACCAGTAGCCCCTGGGCCCCGCCATCATGCCTCCGCTGGCCACCACCTCCCTCTCCCCCCTACTGCTTCCCCATTGCCCCGCATCCATCCCACGTTTTGCACACAAAAAAAAAAAAGGAGCAAAATATCCCATCTCATTTATGATTGATAAAGTTGTTAAATATCGCATCGACGTGTCACGAGTAGAGAGCTTGGGTGAGTTTTTTTTTACCCTTTGTCCCCAGGAGGGAAGTAAATGAGGGAAACTAGGAGTGGAGTTAAGGGCCTGTGGGTTTGGAAGGGGTCATGCATAGGTGGGCCTGGTGGTGCCCGAAACCCTAGTACTTGCAATACAGGTCAAATTTGGAGCTTTCGCCAATCAATCACAATGGGCCACCCGTCCTTGTTTTGTTTCCCCCTCTCCATTTAGCTCTCTGCCGCCGTCTTCTCCGTGTTTTTTTATTGATCATCTTAACCAGTCAAAATTCTCATTAATTACTCTACTGTAGTTGAGAGAAAGATACTCCAAAAAATCACAATAACAGATAGAGAATAGTACCCAGGCAGCCTGGGAAGGCGGAAAAAGAAGAAGACGCAAATGGATCACAATCAAGGCCACGTGTACATGTAGGTAGCCATGGAGGAACGCGCAGAGAGATGATCCTGTTCAAGGGTTTGTTGGCCACCTTCCATTCCATCCACTTACAGTCGTGCAACTTCATTTGTCTAAAGTTGGTTTATATCACTTCTTATTTGGGGAAAAAAAAACCTGATATAAATAGTAAAAAAAAAAAAGGTTTAAATTATAAGAATTAAGATTAATTAAAACCATGCAAATCCTACGAATAATAGCCAGTCCTTTGCATCCTAGCTATTCAACAGCTACACCAAATAGAGTGAGGTCCATTGGCGGGGCAAAATAACAATGAGATTTGCCGGCCGGTGGGTTATTGGAGATTTCAATCATTATAGGGTTGATTTTAATAATTTCTTGAATCTCAAGCCCCTGGCCTCATATTCTCTCTGTGTATACACACAAACACACACGCATATATACATTGCTATTCATGATTCGTGAGCTTCAAGTTCAACGCCTTGCGTTTGCAGCATTGTGAAAGTCAGTGTGAGTCTTTATGGGTCAAATTTGAATGCCTAATGGTGTGTTGGGATGTTACCTTAGAACCAATGATAAGCGCCGAATGTTACCAGCACTGTAGCAGTGTAGGAAGTTGGAAATTGGATGCAGGAAGAGGTGGAAGCAGCTCAGACGAGGTCGTTAAATGCAGGCACGAGCATGAATGAATGGATGGGTGCACTGTGCACATGCACATGCACGCACAGCCTCTAATTCATTGGGCATTGCCTTCCCAGCTACTTATGAATCCTCATCATCAACACTACTCCGTAAAACCCCGAATTCAATTGTGGGAAGGGCCTACCACATGCTCCCTATTATGGTGATCGCATTCTTCAACCACCATTTCCCTACTCACTCTCCTTTTAATTTGTACGTACAGCTCACCTTCCCCCGACATCATCTCCCTTTATTTGTAATCTATACAATACAAACTTGTTACATGATATTTTCGCTCTATTCAAAACAACCTAACTTTGCACACCATGCGCGTGTACCAACCTAGGATTCGAAATCGTTAACTTAGGGCTGGCGAAGGTAAGGACTGAAGAAGTTGAATGGATGGATAATAAGCTGACACGGAAAGTTGGAACGTAGTAGCCACAAAAGTCAATGATTGAGATGGATGAGCAGGGGGCAAAGCCCATTAACACGAAACTGGAATGCTTGGCGGGTTTGGGATTTATAGATAATTAATCCTTTAGGGGTCTGTTTGGGTGACACCCCAAACCATGGTTTGGGGACCCAAACCATGGTTTGGAGATTTAGTCACCAAACACCCCCTCTAAAAACCAAAACCATGGTTTTGGGTCAAAATCATGGTTTTGGAAAAAGCAAATTTTTTGCTTTTGGAGAAAAAAGGGAGAGTGTGAGGGCCTATATGATATATATCTTGTTATTTTTTTTATAAACATATTTTTTATAAATATATTTAATCTTATATTTATAAATATATATACACATTAATTATTTATTAATTATATTATCTTATGTATTATTAATTATGTTGGTAAAAAACATATTATTAACAATTTTATTCCTTCAAATTAAAATATATCATAAAATCTATTTTTTCTGTAATTATCATATTAACTTATGTCTTTTTTTTAGTAATTTGTATATATAAAAAGTGCTTTTGATAACAACTATCCAAACACTCTCACTTCTCAGAATCACTTTTTTACAAAATCTATTCTTCACAGAATCTATTTTCCCCAGAATCTATTCTCCAGAATCACTTTTCCAAACCACGGTTTGGTTTCATCCAAACACACCCTTAGATATGAATGAACAAGACAGATGATGCATAGGCGTACTTCATCTGATACCCAAAAAAAAAAAGTCTTATTGAATGCTTATCTATTTTAGGGTATATATGGAGGGTGTGCTATTAATTCATTTCCGGCACGACCTTGTGTTCCCATCTGGACCATAGCACTCACGTACGTCAATTGAGTTGATTTCTTTTCCATTTCTGTCTATTTGGATTTTGGACGTGCATACATGAGTGCAGGATTCATCACGTAATCTGTTATGAAATTGAGCCGGACTTATGATTATTGTATCTCACACTTTGATGTGATGCTGCCGGAAATGCGTGCCTGCATTTTTAGGACCGAAGTAACATTTATAATTTGTTGAGAGGCCAGAATGCAAATATCATAAACTTTAGTTTATAATATGCAAATTTTTTGAATTTTTTTCAATCTTATATCTGGTTGTTGTAAAAATATCTTATATTAATTTTTTGATATTAATAAAATTGGCTCTTTTGGCCAAAAGAAAAAACACTTAGATAGCATTAAAAAAAAAAAGTAAACGTCTTAAATTCAATTGGATGATATTTTGATAAATCACAAAGTTAAAGATCAATAAAATTTGATTTGATTTTTATTTTTTATTTTGTTTTTGACTTCTTCCGTAACTACTAGGCTATAACAATTAACAAATTTAACTGAGATGAAATAATTTGTCCTGCAAGTGGGGAGGGGTGTGAAATGACCGAGATAATGGGGGAATTTGCCCCTTAAATCAGCCCCGGAACAAGTCAAGCCCCCGCCACGTGTTTGGATAATTTTGGTCGGTAATTACTGCCGGCGTTCGTCCACTTCCCGTATGTCAACGGCAAGCAACCCGAGAAAGACGAAGAACTGAAAGGCTTCTGGTTAGCTCACAAGGCATGGACTTCTGGAACAAAGCTCGAAGCTTAGCTGAGGAAGCCGCCAAGCGATCGCAGGACCTCTCCTTCGGCACTTCCACATTCTCGCATATTGTCGTCGAGACCACCAAGCGCTCCAAGGAAATTGTCTCTGAAGCTTCCAAGCGAGCCGATCAAATTCGAATTGAAGCCTTGAAGCGAGCCGACCACTTCAAACACTTGGCCCAGGGGATTCATCCTCCTGGCGGCGGGCTGGCGGAATCCTATGAAGTCAGTTGCACTCAAGAGAAGGAGCTGGAGAGGTTCGGTATCACCGAAGAACTGAGGGAGTTCGTGAAAGGGATCACTCCAAGCACGTTTCGAGATTTCCCTCTCGAAGGTATTCAACTGACAACTAGTTGTTTTGGCTACTGTGGATTGTAATCACTCTTCTTTTGATATTTGCATAATTTTGAACATCCAAAGGTCGAGTATTAGAAATCTTAATCTTAGTGAGGAACGTCGGCCTCTTTTTGATTGAACAAATTGATGCCGCTACCTTTTTTCCCTGTTCCTTTTTCGTTCCTCATTTGACCAAATTTATCTGACTCCTGGCTCCTATTGGCAGATGACACGTACCTTTCTGATGTTCCTGCGGTTTCTAATGTTAGGAAGGATCTTACTGAGTGGCAGGAAAAACATGCCAATCTTGTTCTATCTACTGTCAAGGTAGCATTACTCTTTGTAGAAGAACTTCTGATATTAAGGAGACCAAAGCATATGGTTACTCTGTAACCTAAATGATTACCCTGTTAATCGTTGGCTCACTTGAATCTGATCAATAAGCGGTCTCAAAAATATGGAAAATTCTTATAATAATGCAAGGCCATGAGTGAAATCAACTTTCATTCACCATATGGTTTTTCTGTGCTTTCAATCACCTTGAAGGACCAACATAAGCTGTCATTTCTTTTGTTTGATTTGTACAACTTTGTTGGAGTGTACGGTGGGTGTCTGCTGCAGATATGAGGGTTAGGATTGGCCCACTGGGTTTTAAGAAGGATGATATCTTTACTTAGTCCTCTTTGCTCCCAACCATGGTTCAACTGGTAAGGATTCAGATAGACATGGGATATCGTTCACAATCATACCGTTACCTTTAATGGAGAAAAATTGATGTATTCTTATCTCAGATAAGGATAAGCTCAACGGTTATTAACTTCTATGGGAATTACAAATTATAGGAGAATTGTCTTAATTAACTAGGATGCCTAGTAAATTAGAGATGATATCTGTGGTTTAGGTAAGCGAGAGCTAAGAGCTTTAAACTGCTGCAAGATGACAGTTGTTGTATCCAATTATTGTAAACACAAGCTATCATGATCACTATGAAACGTTTTTGTTAATATGCTTCCTTAGTTTCTATTTGGAGCAAATCTACGTCTCAATGACACAGCTTACCATTATGCTAATCCAGCATGAAGATATAATATGATCTGTCAACTAGTTTATAAGCTGTAGCTGGTACCGCATTACAAGTCATTTTGTCTAATATACCAAATGCATTTTTCTTTTAATTATAAGAATGAGGCATTTTGCATCCTCGCTACTTTTTTAATGCTTTGTTGCAGGAGATTTCAAAGTTAAGGTATGAGCTGTGCCCACGTGTCATGAAAGAGAGGAAGTTTTGGAGAATATATTTTATACTTATGAACAGCCATATTTCCCCGTAAGTAGTGATCATTAATATTTTATATTTTGCATTTAACTTCTTCAATTCAAAGTTTAGACTTTGCACTGGAAGAAGTCTTCTGTATCTTAAGAGTCTGCGTTTTACATTTGACATTTTTATTGCTTCTGAGTTTAGACTTAGCCTCTGATGATTGTCACAGGTCAAGTTTGATGCAGGACCAATTGATCTTTGTAGATTGTAAAAAACAATGTGTGTGTGTGTGTGTGTGTGAATTACTACTTGTTGGTTAAATTTAGGAATGTTGATGTAGACTTCTAGGCTATCACATTGCGTAAATTTATAACGAGATATGAAAGGCTTGCTCTTGATGTATCAAATTATTTTGTCCTCTCGAATTCTGGGACGAAATCCCAGGTAATTTGTGCTTCTGTATTTTCAAAATTTAATTTGGATCATTAGCAGGGATCCGGCATTGACTTCTGACTGCTATTATCCTGATATCTTGGTTGACTCTTCTAAAAGACACAATGTTGTTCTGTCCATTTACGTAAGTCGAAAAATAAAGATCCCTAAAGCTCTAGTCCTACATGCTTTATATGGAGGATTTTCTAGAATACCCTTCACTCTGCTGCACTTTTATCTGCCTAGTTAGGGCATGGATGCATGTTTGTGTTAAACGTAACCTTCTTTTCTTATAATTACCCATAGCTATGAGAAGAGGTACATGGAGGATGCTAAGCTAGAATCATCTGAGCAAGCGGAAGATAGGGAAGCAATTGAGCCACGAGAAAAAGAAGTAAAAGATAGGGAAGCAATCAAACCCCCAGAAGAGCAAGTAAAAATTGAGAAAGTGATTGAACCACCAGAAGCTGGACGGACCTCCCTTCAGGAAGAGCTGGAAGTTAAAAAGGAGAGCAGAACTTCATCAGCTGAGCAAGATTTAGACGAGTTTCTTCTGGGAGATGTGGGGGAAATCGATGATGACCCAGGTACAGCCAAATTAATTAAGATGATTGAAGTATTTTTCATTTTCAGGGGGGAAAAAGAAAACAAAAACACTCTCGGGTGTTCACCCAATTTTTGAGGCCTCGAATTAACAATGCAAGCAAATGTGGGTTGAGCCTCAAATGCTGTTATTTAGAACAGGCTGGGGCGTTTAGTGATATAAACATTTAGTGTAATTGTATGGGAATCTTCTGTGGAGTCTAAATAAACATATTATGCGAATGGTTCATGGATGAATTTAAACTCCAATTAGTTTATGATGCCTTTCCTTCCCTGCTTCGCATCAGTTTTTTGTATATTTGAAATAATGTAAGCCAACAATCTCTTTTGTCTTTCAGATGATGGTAATGGGGACTTCGATGATGATTTGGATAAACTGGTGGATACCTCGGTAAGTGTGATATGATTTATTATGGTTCCAGATTGAATCTCCTTCTTTTCAAACAAATATATACATAATCTCCCAACTTTTCCCTGCCTTTCACCAGGTACCATGTCTGCATTATTTTTAGTGTCATGTGAGCAACATATTATCTAAGTACTTGGTCACTAATTTGTCTTTCATCTTCCTGAAATCAAGCTGCTACAATACTAAATTACAGGGTTAAATTCCATGCATTGCTGCAGTTTATTTTACTCCGTTTGATTCTATCAAAAGAAACTGAAAGAAGTGAAAGCCAAGTTGAAAATAAGAGGTGCTTTCCAACTAAAGTAGGGGAAGAATGAGAGACCTTAGCAGTTAAAACGTGTTATACCAAGTCCAAACATCTTCCGCTCAGAGAAAAAGAATTTATACTATCACAATACATTTATGACATCGATCTATTGAGTTTTAACTTTATTTTGGTCCATAGATTTTTTTTTTTAAAAAAAAATTATAGATTTGAAGGTTTGAACTCTAGACATTATACCTCCGCCTCATCCTTACCACTTGAACTAGCCGAGGTGGCAAATTGGCTTGCATTTCATGGTGTACTAATTTTGTGTTTAAACGTGCTTGATTCCACAGGATGATGAGAAAGGGGAATCATAGATGTTGATAGAGAATAGCTGGCTTCGTAAATTTGGGTGTATCATACCGGAGCATGTTCATGATAAACTGGTGCGTCGGTTAATGTCATGATATCAACATATGTTCTTGGAAGGCCAGTTTTGTCCCTTTATTCTGCGGTGTTAGAAGTTTCAGGGCAGAACAGAAGGTTATTGGGACTGTTGTTGTAAATAATACTTGGTTATTTAGTTTAGTGTTTAATTATGTTAAATAGCTTCTATATATTTTCTCTCAACACACGAAGGAAGCATATTGCCGAATAGGCTATCTTTCTCCGGAATTATTCTTTGGATGGAATGGGTGAATGTTAGAAGCGAGCATTATTTGCCCAGTGTCGCCGAATATGAAAGGAAGTAAAATCCAGGGTTACTCAATCTGTGTAATGTGCATTTCATCAAAATTTGTCATTGCAAGTGGAGACAAGGTGAATAGAAAAATATTACTACCTCCTATCTTAAATATAAGATCTGTAATTCCGAAGGTAATATTTGTTTTCAAAAACTAACTTGATGGGAGGGAGATAATGGCTTATAATCCGGTGCTGTGAAATTTTTCGGAGTTGTGAGTTTGATTTTGTTTGTAATTTTAAACTGTTAGTGTTTGTTGGTCTAGCCCAGGAAAAAAAAAAAACATTGATGGGACAAACGAAGAGTAGTATCAAATATGCGAATCTTGTTCTTTTTCCAAGTAGAGGTATTTTCATCGTTCACGCAAAAAAAGGTGGCAAAAAGATATTTTCTTAGCCTCCGAATTTTATGTTGGTAATCAACTGTGGGGTTTTGCTTGATTGAGGGGGATAAGGTGTGATTTCGCAGAGACACTGAAATAACAATGCTGACAAAATCATTTACTCTGGGCCCTCCTTTGCGCTGCGTTGCGGATGCAATGATGCTTTTGTCCTTGAATGAAAGTTATTGTGTAATTTTATGGGAAGGGTTTTACTTAAAAGTATTAGACACTTAAAATTTTTTAATTACAAATTTATCTCAAAAATTTAAAATTGTAACGATTTTGCCTTATACCGTTAAAGAAGTAAAATGAGCCATTAAAATAGTAATATTGACTAGTAATATTGTTAATAATAGGAGGTAAAATTGCTACGATTTTAAATTTTAGGACAAATTTGTACTAACAAAAACTTTTGAATGCCCTAGGCTTTAACACTCTCAAGTAGAAACTTCTAAAACAAATTTCCACCTTAATCATTTTTTCACCAGGATGTACATTCTCTATTTCTAGACATAACACACAATCTAAGTGATAAATCATAAATTGATAGATGTGATGTGAACTTACTGGCAAAGAGAATGTGATTTGAACTTAAGTATAAAAACTTAATTTATTTTTATTTTATATGTAATATTTTTTCATCATATTATTTTAAAGACAGGAACACAATTTTTATATAATAAATCAATTTTTTAGTTTTTAGAAATTAACTAAGTGAGCCTTATATTTAAAATAAAAGAAATAGGTATGCATGTAGTCTATGCACATGTTTGTGTATTTGTGAAAAGACAGATAAAAAGAAGTGAGAACCTTGTGAATTTTTCAAAGACAGAGTAATAGCTCCAAGACGATCTGAATCCGAATCCTAATCCTCAATTCTGTCATTATACAAAGCAACCTGGGATCACTAAACCCACGAGACCACGAGAACCGTGAATTTTGCGATATTTTCCCTGTGATCCCAGATCTCGCTGCCTGTTTCGCGATCTTCTCTATTCTCAGCAGCCAACTTTCCTTCTTTTTTTTTTTTTAATAGGGAAAATGAATCAGTCAGTCCCTGTAGTTCTTCTATTCAGTTTTGATCCCCATAATTTTTTTTTATTTAATTCTTATTGCTTGCACAGTTATAAGAGTTAGTCCTTCTGTGTGTGAAACCTGAATCTGCCGTTAATTCAAATTAACCGTAGGTGACGTGGCACTGGATGAAATCAGAGTACAGCAGTCCATTTTTCTCCTCCATCACCTTCTCTGCCTCCCTCCTCCACCATCCTCTTTATCTCTTCTTGCGGAAGCTTTACTGTCTTTCAGATTCATCATTTTCTTCTCACAGCTTTAACAGGGGTTCTGAAAGTAAATACACGGAAAATCTAAAATGAGAGAGATTAAAAAGGATTAAGATCTTAAAATTATGAATAAAATAAATGTCGACGTACTCTTATGCTCATAATAAGTAAAAGAGTATTATGTTGATCCCATCGTGGCTTCTTTAGATTTTGTTTGTTGGCTGCCTTCTGATTCGTGTCTTGCTGCCTGCGCTGGCTTCTCCTTTGTGTCCTTTGTTCCAAATAAACAATTTATAAATGTGCCGACGAGCCTTGGAATGTGGTCGGAGGCCTAAGCTGGACCCAGACATAAAATTTGGATCGTTATTATGAGATTCGATTCCGTCGCAGATTTTGATTAAGCCTTTGTCTCCCCCGACTTTGACCAATCATATATTTGTAGGCCAACACTGGGCATCTCCGCCATTATCAGGCTTACAAACAACCATAATTTTTCCTAACTTGAATTCTAGTACTCTCTCTCCATGTTGAGATCGCGTTGTGTCCGAACAAATCAAGGAACGAGTTTCAGTGTTTCATTATCATTCATCAGATCTGAACCGTTTATATCTCATTTAAACGGTACAGATTTAAAATATTTAATTAATCATTTTTAAATAGAATAACTATTTTTTGAAAAAATAATAGTTAAGGGATCATCACTATTTTAGATTCTATACATATTAAAATAATTATTTTGAATAAATAAAAATAAAAAAATCAAATATGTACTGTTCAAATGAGATATGGACGGTTCAGATCTGATTAGCTTATGATGCTCATCAAATGGATGAGTACCGAAACTGGTTCCAACAAATCAACAAGTAACATATGCTCCCTTTTTTTTTTGCTAAATCACGTAATATAAGATTTCGTGTTATTTTTATTTGATTTTACATATAAAATCCCAGTCTACTTTGTCTCTCATATTTATATTTTTTTAAAGTAGTCTTCTAGTAATGATAGTTCTAGCCAATACACTTAATCAGCAAATATTTTAGAAAGACAACACCTATTTATTACAGAGAACTAATTTAACTTTTTTAATCTCCTCAAATTAGTCAACTAACTCTTATAATTAGGACTGGAGGTAGTAAATTGGAAAAAATATTGATTTTTTTATATTAAAAAGTCAATTATCATCAGAGAACTTCAAGATACATTGCCATAGTAGGGAGCATGCAGCGTGACAAGCGCTAAGGAAGCCATAGTTACATACACGCGTGATATAAAAATATGTGTGTTCGTTTTTGTTTTTATAAGCAACAACTCTATCTCTCTCTTGTCCCTAAATATAAGTAACATTTGTAAGTTGTATTAAATTTTTGAAGCGAATTCTCTATTTTGTCTTTATTAATTACTTATTTTAATACTGAATATATTTATTATCTCATTTCTCAAATCATCATCTCTCCATCACACATTCTCTTTTTCATAATTCTCTTTATTATATTTTTTTTTATACTCTTTCTTATACTCTCCCCTTATAAACAAGGATATTTTAGAGAAAGAACTTTTAATTTTTATATATTTATTGTCTTTAACTAATTTTAATTAACATTTTGACTTACGTGATGAGTTCTGTAGTGTTGCTCATAAAAAGAGACGGAAGGAGTATAAAATATACTCGCACCCCCATGATCTTATTTAAAACACATATTTAGCTGAATCACATAAATTAAGAAAAATAATTAAAATTAGTTGGTACTTTTTTTTTTGCAAACCCTGATTAAAATTATTAAAGATGCACGTGTCGCATAACGGATTGAGCAAGCGCGAAAGCCTTTGCCTGCTCATTTGCACTTTGCTTGATCACTTTTTTTTTTTAACACACAGGGTTAAAAATCCTGTTTTCAGCAAGGAGCATATAAAACAACTTATAAATGCTAGATGCATCTTGTAAATTAACTTACCTCATACACCATGAAAAATCTCTAAATAAAAAATCATCAGCAGTCGGCATGTATATATGGGCATTCCCACCCCCTCCCAGTATTATATGAAAGGATTATGAGAGTTTCGAGGGTTATGGAAATGAAGCAGTAGGCCATTTATGAGCCACATAATAACACACCAACCTATGGTGAAAGCGCTGTTGGTTTTCTTAACTCGTCTATCGGCATCTTTGAATTTTACATATCATCTTGCTCTAATGCCCCACCATATATACTGCACAAAAAGGTTAAGCAGATTATTGGATATTTTCACGTATGCTTCGCATAATTAACATGAGAATATGACACCGGCCCCAAAAAAACAGGTTAATTAACTACATTCAGGCACACGCTTCAGTATTTAGGTTCATTCTCTCTTTTCCCTGTCCTCCTCTAATTCAATGCAATTGTATGCATGCGTTGTATGTATTCATTTTTTGGTGATTAACAATGAGGGTTGCAACAGAAACAGAAACAGAAACTTAACCTCATTCGCATCATCAAGAGAAAGGGCCGAAAGGACTTTGGGGTCTTGTCTTGGCTTCCATCGATGTAATGAAGCAACGGATGGAATATGCCTTGGCTAGCCAGCTCCGGTGTGCTGCTGAGAAAACCTCCTCAATACCTAAATATAAACGTCTGATCGATGCATATGTATGTATCATTCACAGTCATATGGTTGCGACTCCTACCTACTCCGACACCAGTTTTATGTCATTACTATAACGTGCACGCATGCATGTTCCAAGCAGCTTCGTTCATGTGGTCATAAAAATAGGTTGGCTTCATGGGACAGACACGCAGATTCATTTGACATTATCTATTACGATCAAATATGTCACTATGACCCAATTGACATTTGAGGAGATTAAAAGTAAGTTAGTGTATAATCATGTGGTCATTCCTAAACACTTGCAAGATTGTTGGACATATACGAAGATTATTTGATACATATATACATGGGTATACGGACCAAGTCAAATCATAATACATACATATCAATCACACTTGTGTTTGTTGTCACAGATCATACACCAGTAGAACGATGCCATCCGTCGTCTTCTTCAATCCTTATTTTCCAATTGTGCGTACCCTTCCCCGTCGCTGCCTTCCTCTGATGTCTTACCAGCCTTCCACAGCAATTGCTGCTTCACTCCCTTTGGCATTCATTTTTTGACAATTCACAATTAGCAAAGGATATTGGCCGCCAAGCACGCCACCTGCGGATCTGTATATTTAATTTTTATCTGTACAATCCCAACGGGTTCAATTTAAAAGTTTCAATGATAATTTTTAGATGAAAGAATATTATTTGAACAATCGTGGTTAAAAGATAAT